TAAAGTTCAAAGAAACAAAAAAGAACTTAATTTCTGCATACCAGAAATACTGAGGATATTATGATCAAAAAGCACTTGCCCAGCCACTGAAACTGCATTCATTTTGTTTATTTTTAAATCCTCTGTTGACAACTCAATCAGATTTTGGAAGCAAATCAATGCAAGCCTGGATACCATTGTACAGAGTAGAAAAAGTATTGACAAATTCAAACTACATCATTCGTAAAAAGTATAAGACACATTCGAGTTTAAGAAAGTTGCCACACTGAAAAATGAAATTTTATTGTGTTAAATTTTTTCTACTCAGTTTTTTTCTAAAAAGTGTTCACCCCGTTAAACAAATTATTACAAATGATAAAAACTGGCATTTTCAGACACGGAATAAACTAGTAAGTGCTTCAAATCAAGAATTGAAACGCCCATTTAGGGCAGATTCGTTCATTTGCTTTTGATCAATGTTTTTTTTTGGTAAATAATATTCAAAACTGTCCTTGAACCTAGACATTTTAGAGAGTAAAACAGTTAGTTTGCGTATAATTTAGTCCACTAGTGTTTAAGGCAAGACTATTTTAGTTTGAGCTAATGTGCGCTTTTTTGTTGTGACTATTTTTAACTGGGAAGGAGTTACAGCGTCAGAACTAGCATAGGAACTTAAGCGTGGGAACTAGTTTTTTGTTGTGACCATTTTTGCACCTTATGGGAAGGAACTGTAGTGTACTAAAGACAAGGAACTAGAAAAATTTTAAAATGATATCAAGTATGCTATCACAGGAAATCCCTAATAGATGTCTTTCGGATTCCTAGAAACTTTTTTAAACAAGTGATTCATTTAGAAATTTCAATGATTGTTGAAATCCAGCTTCAACTGACTCTATAGATTGCCTGTTCTTGGTCAATAAAAAACAAATTTTTCGATTAGGTGATGTTTACCCAGGCGCAGGTCCACCGATGAACTGAAGTAACACCAGAAAATACAAAAAGAATTTCAAAAAATTACATATAAACGGTAGAAGGACCTGGAAACAATGTTCAAGTCACAATTTTTAGTTTCTTGAAAGCTTGGTTCTAGGAGTCAAAGTACTAACTTTGGCGAACTCTTGTTACTAAATACGCTGCTTCTCAATGTTATTGATCTGTTCTTGACGAACTTGCTACTGTGCAATTCTACAAATGCATTTTAAAGGTAAACACAATTTGAATTGTCTCAACGCAGTCGAGAAATAGTCTCTTTTACAATCCTTGTCCCTTTTAATCATGAGTTAACTAACAAAGTAGAACCCACCGATTCCAAACCATATTTGGCTATTTATTTCTGTTTGAGAAATCAATCAAGGCTATTCATGCCATCGATCAAATCAGACCAATAAGCCACAATTTCTTTAGCTGAAATATTGCATCCTGCTAAAACCATATTAATTAAACGCAAAAGCTAAGATGATAATTTTCACAAGACGAATGTAAATCTAAAATCTGTTCAAATCAATGAAAACTTGTTCAGCAAAACGACCCCGAACCATAGTACAACGTTTTCACCAACAACATTGTACAAACTATTAAAAAACTTGCTCCGCAAAAATCAATCTTTTGCGTAACGGTAAACAGAGTAAAATTCCAAGATGAAGCTTTTAAAACACATTTAATCAGTTCAAGAATAACAGAGCGAGAAAATGGACATCCATCAATGATACCAATAACTCGACAAAAAAACGGAATCATGTTTCTTCACGAAAACTTTATAGGAAAAGAAGTAAAAAATTGTTCGAAAGCAAAACTGCGTACCTGAAAATTATCAACATAACGCTGCTTTTTCGAAAAAAAAAATACAACAACCCAGCCCTCTTTTTTTTGATGAAAGATGAAGAAAGATGATATGAAATTTAAAAAGCGATGAAAATAAGAAAGTTGATTTGAAATTGAGAAAAAAACAAAAATGAAGTTTCATTACAGTTGTTACAAGCGCTGAGTGAAGAAAAGTTTTGAAATTCCATTCCAAAAACTCGCACTGTAAGGCTGTTGCAATTATCTTAAAAACACTCTTTCCCCGGAATTTTAAGGACATTTTTACTCCAGTTTACAAAAAAGACGGCCCTGAATTGCCAGAAAGCTGCAGACCATTTTCAATATCTGGTGTTTTATCTAAAGTTTTCGAAGAAAATTATACAAGCAAATAATTGGATATCTTTTATCACAAACCCTAAGCAGCAGTAAAATGGGTTTCAGAACCTATTCAACAATTGGTGCATTTACTCTGCACCGAATCATTTGGAAGATCAGTTGATAGCAATAAGTTGGAGCTTACTCATAAGATCTTTCCAAAGCATTTGATTTAATTGATCATAAGTTTCTCTAATAAAACCTAAAACTTTGAACTGTTTTTAAAAGTGAAATTGAAACATAATAGAAAACGTATCAGTAAACTTTTGACTTCGTTTACTTCTTTCATCAGTATACGTAATAGAAAACGATTGTCAACAAGCGTAAACGTTGAATCAGATTGGATTTCATTGCAACAAGGTGTTCTTCAAGGCACCGTTTTGGGACCTCTGATTTTCAATCTTCATTTCAACGACCTAAACAAGCAGTTACCAAATTCATGCAAACTAGTACAGTAAGCAGATGACACGCTACTCTTTTGCGAAAATCAAAACGCTGATCTAGCGATGAAAGAACTAGAAAAAATGCTAATATTTTTCAAATTACTTTTATAGCCATTATAACTTGTCAAATTCAGCATAAAAACATTCGCAAAACCAAGAAAAAATTATATTCTTTTTTTTTATATAAAAGAACAAAACATCATCCAAGAAAAAACTGAAATCAAATACCTCGGAGTAATATTAGACCAGCTTTTATTGTTCAAAATTGACGATGAAATGATATTAAAAAATGGCCTGCGGAAAAAATACTTCTCTAAAAAAGTCTTTGCCAATCGAAACTGGCCTACTAAGCATGAACGCAATATATACTAGTGATCTACATTATCCAGCCATACGTCTCAGCCAAACATCATCAATTCTAAGGACATCACTCGAAAAACTCACTCGAAGAGCTGAGCCATAAAATTATGCAATCGTGCAAAGTTTGATTCATCATTTCATTTGAAAGTGATAATGTTTGATAATGTGCTGCCCATGCTTGAAAACTCATATGCCATTTTTGGAGAATAAAAGCCTATTATTATACGCTTTTTTCAAAAAATATATGCCACATACTACCATATCGATACAAGTACAAAATGGAAAAAATATATATATTAAGTAAAAATATATATTGGACAATACGTCAAAAACTTGTTTTTTTAAAGATCAGTAACTGTATGCAATTATAATTAGAGATACAAAAGTTAACTTGTGTGTAAGTTGAAGGAAAGTTGACAGTTAGAGGAGTTCATCTCAATCACAAAAGATTGTGGAGCCCCCAATGCCGATAGTTAATAATAAAGATAACCAAATCAACATTTTGCCAGCAGGCGAAGTTTAACCAATCTTCAAATCGTTTTTACCAAAAGGAAACTACAATCATGTTTACCATCGCTGAAGTCAGCATTTTCTTATGTCCTCAAGTCAAGAGTGGTTTACAAACGGTCGTGTAGTAGATGTACTTCCACCTATGTTGGACAAACTGTTCAGCGTTTGACCACTAAAAGTAAAGGACATCAGAAAGCATACTCATCGGTAGGCCTCCACCTGCAGCAATGCAATAATCAGGGAAAAGCGCAAGAAGTTAGTTGGGAAATTATAGACCTGTTAAACCTTGTTTAGAAGTATGGTCGCATTAAAGACCTGGTTTAGAAGTATGGTCCCGTTACAAATCTCGTTTAAAAGTATGTTCCCGTTAATAAACCTCGTTTAAACGTGTGGTCCCGTTTAAAACCTCGTTCAGAAGTATAGTTCCGGTAAAAACTTCGTTTAGAAGTATGCTGCCGGTTGTTAAAAACCTCGTTCAGAAGTATGGTCCCGTTAAAAAAACTAGCTTAGAAGTATGCTGCCGTTCGTTAAAAACCTCGTTTAGAAGTATGGTCCCGTTAAAAACCTCGTTTAGAAGTATGGTCCCGTTGAAAATCTCGTTTAGAAGTATGCTGCCGGTTGTTAAAAACCTCGTTTAGAAGTATGGTCCCGTTAAAAAAACTAGCTTAGAAGTATGCTACCGTTCGTTTAAAACCTCGTTTAGAAGTATGGTCCCGTTAAAAACCTCGTTTAGAAGTATGATCCCGTTAAAAATCTCGTTTGGAAGTTTGCTGCCGATTGTTAAAAACCTCGTTCGGAAGTATGGTCCCGTTTAAAAAAAACTAGCTTAGAAGTATGCTACCGTTCGTTAAAAACCTCGTTTAGAAGTATGGTCCCGTTAAAAAGCCTCGTTTATAAGTATGATCCCGTTGAAAACCTCGTTTAAAGTATGATTCCGTTAAAAACCTCGTTGAGAAGTATGCTCTTGTTCGTTAAAAACCTCGTTTAGAAGTATGATCCCGTTAAAAACTTTGTTTGGAAGTATGGGAAGTATGGTCCCGGACTCTTACTTATGGTCACTTATAAAATTCAGTCAGAAATTTTTCTAAATTTAGTTTCTGATTTTTGCTGTTGAATTGATAATTTGATAATTCGTTTTGTAAAAAACGTAGGTGGTAACATTAAGACTTAAGTTGATTAAAAAAGCTTACAAGTTTCCCTTTTGTTTTCATCCACTTTAAAAATTTCCAATTGAGTAGCCAATAATGCCTTAATTCTGGTGCAACCATGAACTAAAATTCTATATTGTATCATTCACCATATATTTGATTCGTAAGAACCGAAACAAGACTTCCATGGGAACAAAATGTTTTGGTTTAAAACTATGCCGCATTGTTCCATTCTGCAGTCTTATATAATTCTTGGAATGAACATTTGTATGTATTATATTGCAGCAACCATCTTTTTTAACTGATTTGGTTTTTATAGGCAGAACATGGGGTTCTAAATGAGGAATAAGGAAGAAGTAGATAACTATTTGTTGATTGTCCCCAGGAGTGCCTGGACAGATGGTTGTCACACAACGACAGGCCCCCCAACTGCGAGGTGTGTGGGCATCGGTTCCAGTTCCAGCCCATCTACAAAGAGGACATGCCCAAACACGTGCCAGTGCGCATCCTCCTCAGTGGGCTGGGAAGAACGGTGACACGGGGCGTGTGTGACTGGCTGCACTACACACTCGTGGCTGTGGCGTGGCTGCTGGTGGTGCCCCTGTCAGCATACAGGATCTACAAGTTCATTTTCAGCACTGCAGCTATCGCTGTGCCTGGGGTGGGGGGAGGGGGAGGAGTTGGAGCAGGAGTGGGTAGTAGCATGGGGTCCCTTCTCTCCCTCACCTGGTCCCTCCTTAGTCCCCACAATCTCCTCTCAGACGTGTTCTATGGTGCCTTCATTGTGTCCGCCAGCATTGCAGCCTTTGTGGCACTGGTGTGGCTGCGCGAACAGATCATCAATGGAGCTGCGCCGGATTGGATGGAGTTGCATTTGGGTAAGACACCAACTGTTAACATAGCACCATTTAGCCACCAGGGAAGGCAAAGGGTCAGTGCATGAGGGTTCACATTACTAGGGACAAACTGCTGTAGTACTAGCAGCCACTTTTTTTGGTTGTTTCACGGGGCTGAATTGAGATCAATTGAACCTGTATTGCTTTGCCTGTGAGAGTAATATTGAAGCAACTCAACGACACTTTTCACGATTTTGGGGCATTGTTCAATTGACAGTTGCTATTATTGTCAATGAAAGCGAGACAAGTGTTCCCACTTTTGTTACGATGATGGTTGAAATTAACAACTGGAGGGGGGGGGGGGTGAGAGATGATGGCTGATGGTTTCTGTCTTGCTCTGTTTGTTCAGCAGGTAGACGCAATGTGGGTGTACAGGCTAACCATCCTCCTGCTCGTCGTGAAGCAAACAACAACCCCAATAACAACAACAACAACAATGTGCCCAACGTGAATGAGGGGAATCAACCTGTGCCTCCTGTTCAGAATGAGGAACTAAATAATAACAATAACAACAACAACAATAATCATAATAATAATAATAATAATAATGACAATGTGGAGACAGAGGAGGAGCCACGTGACCAGAGGGAAGAAGAAGAGAGTGGAGGCAGAGACAGAAGTGAGGTTAGAGAACACTCACACCTAATTATACAATACATAGAATAGAGGCTGTAATTGAGCTAATTGTATTGCAACAGTTTTTGATTGCCAACTTTATTGAAAGCAGTGTTTAACTGAATGTAAACTCGTGTCAGGTAGTAAGTATCTTTTTGTGTGCAGTCGAATGAGGAATTGAGACAAGAAAAAGAAGTGGACCGTGATAGAGGGGGAGACCCAACAGAAGGTGAGAAGTCTCCCGAGAGTGACACACGTGCAGATGGAGCAGGACCATCTAGTGGTAGCAACAGCACTGTTGTGGAAAGTGAGCCTCCTAGAGCGAGTAATGCTGTCATAAGTAGTGCTCAGTCTGGCACATCTGACACAGATACTGGGGTGGACAGTCACCAAAGGATCGACAATAGTAGTGAAGAGGAGGGAAGAGTGGAGCTCAATGCAGTGACTGATGGTCGAGACGGAGAGGGGCAAGCGGATGTTGAAGTTGAACGGAGGAGAACTGAAGTCGAGCAACGTTCTAACAGGTGCGACCCAGAGAACATACCAGGAGTAATTACACTCGCGAGAACCAGTGTATTGCTACCGGCTGATAGACCCCCCCCCCTCCCCCGTGAACAGCTTTGCTCACCAGATTCACCTCCTCGCAGCTGGCAAAATCCGTTGTCAAAAAGCAAAAGTGGACAGGTCACGAAAACCCCGATCGACGTTTGTTTCGAAAGTGGATTTTCACTTTCAGATTTCCCAGCGGAATAAAATCTTATCTATTGATCCAGTGTTCTCAAATTGAGCTTAGTTCATCAAAGAAGGGACAATCATAAATTGTCATAGAAATTCGAAGAGCTCTAAAGGCATTTTTTTCTTGAAATTCGAAAGTTGAGTTTTTTTGTTTCTGTTAAGTTGCGTTCATTGCTTTTTTCCAACTGTCTGTTGGCTGTTTTTTTAAAGAGTAATGAACGTGTTGAATGCTCCTATATAGATCTTGTTATTTTTTGTTTTTCTTCAGGAAACAGTACCATTAAATATTTGAAATTTGATGTTTTGAGATTGGACGAGCCGCCGGTTCTGGATGACATCGATGCTGATGATGATGCAGACGGTGGTTCGGAAAACAACAATGGGGATCAACACGAGGAGGAGGCTGCAGTTGCTGAAGATGAACCTGAACCAGAGGTGAGTCAACAAGGTTTTTTGTCTCGTCATTTATTACTTCTGTATATAATCGTCTGCTATTATTTGCCTGCTACTGTATTCAAGTGTCTCCGGTTAAAAAGAGTTTATTGTTTGAAGTTCTCGAAATTCAAAGAGGTTTAAGGTTGTTCATTTCTTCCTTGGAAATTTTTTTTAAAAAAAATCAGTTGTTTCCTAAGAGTCATGAATAAGAGTCAATATTCTTACATAGGTCAAGGTGATTTTTTTTAGGAAAGTCTTAGAATCTGTTCAGTCGTAAATTTGATTTTTCGCTGTTTGCACTTGCGAGAGTTAGTGTATTAGAACCAACCTGTTTTTTTTAACTTAGCTCGCAAATAAAAGTGTTAACTTATTTGGTGGCACTTTTGCTATAATCTTAATATGTAGCATCGAAAGTTTCATAGCATCTGTTCTCTGCTTTATTTGTGGCTAGTGTTTGTGATTCATTAAGACTCCGTGGCTGAGTGGTTAGTGTGTGAAACCCATAGTACAGAACGGTAGGCTGCTGGAACTGTATAATGTCATATGTGCTTTAACATTTGATTAGTAAAAAGTTAATACAGTTGATGCATTTTCAATTCATCAAATGAACCGAAAAAAGCTATTTGTTTCAAACAGCAGTAAAATGATAAAAAGCTCGATTTCAGAAGTTTTCCTAACACTATGTATCTTGTAATTTTTTTGAAATGAATAATTTATTCATTAATTTGGCTTTACGCTTTCCAATTTAATACATGCAAAATTGTGTCTTTTTGTATTTGGTGCCCCTTTTGCGGCGTCGAATTGGCAATTTATTAGCACATGTAGCTTTGTTATTATTGGCTACTTTTCGGTGAATTTAAGCATCCGTGGCTGAGTGGTTAGTGTGTGAGACTCCAAAAAGCAAGGTCGCAGATTCGAATCCTACACGTAGCCGAGTTTTTGCTAAATCGAGGCTTATTTCAACTTTTTCTTATTTCACTTGATAGAGCTGCTTTTTGGTCGTGTTCTCGCAAGTATTTGCGAAGCACAGCTTCGCCTCTGTGTAAAAGGAAGGCAATTTCTTTATCGAGCATTAAATTGTAAAGGTCACAAAAAAGTGATAGAATTTTAGTTTCGAGAGTTGTTCTTAATTTTCGGTTTTCACCGCGGAAAAAATTATCTATTGATCCAGTTTTTTTTTCACATTAGGTTAGTTCTATCGAAAAAAACGTCAATTAAAATTTGATTTGAAGTTCGAAGAGCCGAAAGCACAATTTTTTTAAATTCGATAGTTTTTTTTTTTTCCTTGCGTTCATTGTCTTACTTCCAACTGTCTGTTGGCTATGCTCGAGTGTTGGTGAACGAAGTGAAGACACTTACTTGGGTTTTGTGGTTTAATTTTTTTTTCAGGAAAAAGTCTTTCGAGTTGTTCACGCTCAAGTTTGGTTTTCATCAGTTTGACGTTTTTATTTATACAAGCAAAGCTTGTGTGATTGTATGAAATCTCTTTTTTCCCCAACCTAAGTCGCAAATATTATTGTTAATTTTGAAAGTCTTCTTTTATTGCAGTATGTGCATAAAATCAATAACCAAATATTAAATACAGCTGATGCTAAGGAAATTAACACAGAGTATTATATTACAAATAGCACTTTAGCTTCAAGGTATCATGGATCTGTAGCGACGAGGTAGAGAAGGAGACCCGCAACAAAATAAGGGGGTTTGAACATGGGGAGTGTCGGATGTTTTGAATGAGCTTTTTCGTATATTAGCTACAATGCGTCCGCTCAATAATTTAAGACATGTTAATTGGTAAATTTCTTTTTTTTTCTAAAATTGACTCGTACTGCTAATGCGTCATAATTGTCTTGCGTCACTTAGCAACTATGTAGACTCATAATTGGCGTGCGTCATTTAAGAAATTTTGTAGACTCAAAGTTTTACTCATTCAGTTTTTCCCAGTAGCGTTATCGGTCATATTTTTGCTCGTGCATGCGAAGTGCAACTTCGCCTGTGTATAATTTGTTTTTAAGTTAATTTCAAAATTATTTGCTGACAGGAGGGCCAATCAAGCTCTCAAATACGTACAAAAGCGAAATGGCGCAAAATTTTTCGAGCTTTTTGAGCAAATTGCGACTTTTTCTACAGTTTTTAAGAACTTTGTACAGCCGGACTTTTGATATCTGAATTTGTATTTGGATGTAAATGTTACAAGAGTGGCTGAGTTTAGGAGGTGGATGGAGCGGAAGTAGCAGAGGCTGGCGGGGACATGTTCGAACAGGCTGCGGAGGAGCTGACGTGGGACCGGATGTTGGGTCTGGACGGGAGTCTGGTGTTTGTGGAACATGTGTTCTGGGTCATATCTCTCAATGGAATCTTTGTGTTCCTCTTCGCCTATTGCCCCTACCATCTGGGCAGAGCTCTGTCCATTCTTCTTTTGTTACTATCCCATTTCTCGGTCCCGCTTCACTCTCACAATACACAGTCTAACCAGGCGATGGCGACCACTCCAGTTAGCGCTAACATTCCACCAGTGCCAGACACAGTTCTCTTGTCAGGACTCATCGCGGCCTCATCCGAAGCCACAACGTCGTCTCAATCCTTTGTAGCTCACACCACAACTACCACAAGCACACGTGCTATTACATCTACCAGTACAATGGCTGCAACAAGTGGCAGTGGTGGCACTACTTCTAGTGAGGGTGGGGGCGAGGGTGGTCCAGTGGAGGCGGTGCTGTTCCTTCTGCTGGGATATGTGGCAATAGCTCTGGGATCCCTGCTCATGTATCTGGCCTGTTCCATTCTGAACAAACCACAGCTGTCCAATATATTCGGAATCATGTACATCACCATGAAGGTATTGCCAATCACACATTCACCATGAAGGTATTGCCAATCACACATTCACCATCTTTCAAATCAAAACCTGTTTTTTTTGCTCGCCCGAATTAGAGAACCACTAACAACCACTCACATAAAGCGTTGACCTGTTTATTACCACCATGTTAATTAACGGTATTTTTAACTTTACAACTTGTAAATTTTTAACACTTCAACGCCTCTTATTTTTTTAAAAGTCGATGAACGTAGTTCAGACTCTTGATATTTTTTTTTGCTTTTTTCAGGAAAAGTCATAGAATTTGTTCAGGCTCAATTTTGATTTTTCTTGGTTTGACTTCAGTTTTTTGTAAGTTCAGTTGATTTTCTTTGTTAAAAGGAAGGCAAAAACCACCATCGAACAGCAAAAGTGTAAATGTCACGAAAAACGTGATCGGCTGCTAGTTTCGAAAGAAGGTGGAATTTCATTTTCAGATTTCCCAGTGGAATAAAAGTTTATTTATTGATCCAGTTTTTTTTTCAAAATGGGTTAGTTTTATCAAACTATTGCCAATCAATAAATGTTCTAGAAATTCAGAGCCTTAAGTGCATCTATTTTTTTTCTTGGAAAGTCAGAAGTTGAGGTTTTTCAAAAAAAACAAGTAACTATTTTTTTTGTTTACTTGCGTTCATTGCCTCTTTTCCAACAGTCTGTTGGCTCTGTGTATTCTGAAAAGCAACTGTTTTTCTGCAACATTGACCATTTTCGAACTTTCGATTGTTTTTATGTGAGCAGTCAGTGGATGATTCGTGCAGTTTTATCCATCTTATGTTTTCTTGTAGGTGCTTGTAGGTTCTTGCAGTTTCCTCCCTCTTTACACAAGCAAAGCTTGTGTTATAGTATGAACTCACTTTTTTTCCAACCTAAGTCGCAATTATTGTTGCGACGCAAATGTTGTTGCGAAAAATGTGTTCATTTTGAAAGTATTCGTTTTGATCAATAACCAGCTATCAAGTACAGCCAATGCCAAGGATAATAACACTGACTATTTTATTACAAATAGCACTTTAGCTTCACGAATAATGAAAACAAATACAAAATTTTTACTTAGAGATAACTTCAGATATATGAACTAATCAAAACATTAGCATAAGTATTGAGAAAAGAAGACACCATTGACGGTATTAACGGTTGTTTACATCTGGATGAACTTGAGCCCTGCTTTTTAGGAACTAAGAGGAACAAAGGATTTAAGGCGAAGGCAAAAGCCGATACCTATCAAAACAGAACAAATAGCTTCAGGATTAGAAAACTTTTTAGATTTCTTGATAAAGTTCGATAGCTTCAGGATTAGAAAACTTTTTAGATTTCTTGATAAAGTTCGATAAATCATTTTTAGTGGACTTAAGAACAGCAGCGACCCAAAACAAAATTAGAAAAAAAATATTTCATCAGTCTCGAGATCATTACATAATAGATAACAAAATTTTTTTGGAATTATTCTGGTAAGTGGTGTTTCTTTTCTTTTTCGCTTTCTCCAATCAACCCGGTAATTAAACAAAATGTATTTTGAGGGCTGCTTTTTTGGATTTGGAAAGGAATTTTGTGTGATAAAATAATCATAAATTTATTGATTAGCATAATTATCTCAGCTCTTGTTGTGTCACTCGACAAGCTAAACACCTTTGACGATCTCCCAAGTGTAATTTGTTTGCATATACTTGGAAACTAATTTATTATGATTATTATGTCCGCCCTGTGATACCCTAGCAAGATTGTGTCAAGAAAACACATTAAAGCTTCTTTGTGTATCTTCATTTGCAACAGATGATTATTTTTTTTTATAAAATAACTGTGTGGTTTTGCTTGTTTTGATTTTTTTCAAGATTGTTTTTAGCGTTATTTACTCTTGTGCGATTAGCAAGGATATTTTTTCGTCATGTTTAGCCATGCGAGCATTGTGTTTTAAACTATTCATTTTTTCCAATCCAACTCGCATAAAATAGTATTCGGTGGACGATTTAGGATTAGCATTTTAATAGCATGTGTTCTCCGTTCCGTTTTATAACTGGCTGGTGTTTTGGCCCTGTAAGCGTCATTGGCAAAGTTGAGCAGGGATGCATACTTATATGCTTGAGGTATGTGGTTTGATTCACTTGAAAGGCATTCGTTTTTCAAAATTTTCTTTTCCCCACATTTTACAGCAATTTTGTGGCATTTTGTCGCTTGCTTAGCCGCTGTGACTTATCTTAACCCCTTATTGTGATTCCTAATACATCGTTACTTTAGCTAAAATTGAGTTAAATTTACTAGAGCTAAAGTTGTAAAATATAATTTTCACAACTGAGTTTGGTTAGTGTCGACTCTGCTTGGATTAGTGTCGACAAAGACTCGGAGTTTATCGCTGCTTATCTCGGCTGAATTGTTTTTTCATTTTGATTTTTAGCTTCGTAAATACAGTATCATAGATTGTGGTTTCTACAGTCACTAAAAATTTCGTTTTTGTTGAAACATTTCAAATGGCTACCGATTTTTTTTTTCGTTTTAATGTGTGCCAACATATGTCTGCTTTTTCGTTCGTTTTTTTTTTCGATGAATGAAATCATGATGGTAGCACAGAAAATGTTTTTTGATATGATTATTTTCGAGTGAAAATCTAACACAGAGGCGAAGCTGAGCTTAGCACCACTTGCGATACAAATTTGAATAAAATGAAACGGAAAAACTTCAAAAAAAAATCGAAAAATCGTTTTTGTCAATAAAAAATTGTCAAAAAGTGGTCTCAAGCAGTCTCCGGATAGTCGATTGAATTTGAATTTATAATTACCATGTGGTAACAAAGCCGAAAATACCTGAGCAGAAACCCTTCATGTCAAAAAAATTCTAAACTGATAAAAAAATTTATGTCCCTTTTCCCTTCGGAGCACACGCACGCACACACACTTTTTTCGATCCCCGAACGACGCAATAAGAGGCCACTAGGTCGATATAAGTTCAGCCGAAACTTATTAACACGTTAAAAAAGACAAAGGAATAAAAAGAAAATTTGACAAATCGAGTTGGTAAAATTACAACCAATATTTAAAACAAATTTCGGTTCCGGATTTTTTTTTTAAATTCTAAAACACTCACAGTGAAAATTGTTTGCAGCAAAATAAAAACGAGTTTTAGATCTGGAAATTCGGCCGACGAAACAAAAGCAGACAAATATTAAGCCAAATTTTTTTGAACCGGAATATTTACTGTTAAAAAAAACAGGTCCTTGTAAAATTCGAACCCTATACCTTTGGCGTACCAGGTGTATTCGTTACCTCCAGGCTGTGTGCAGGAGCAAATAAGAAATTTGAATTCATTATGAACCAAGGTACCACGAGTCCAGATTAGTCCTGTGGACAAAGTTGCTTACGGGAAAAAAGTCTAGTACCCGATAGCAATACCCTTGCTTATCGCTAGGGTAATAATTTTATATATTTTTTCGATTTTGACTTTTTTTCAACATTTTTCAGATTTGTCTTTGTTTGTTGTCTTTTGTCTATGGGTTGTTTTCTTTTCCAGCATAATCATAATAATCTTGTAATTTTTATAATTCATTTGATTTCACATTTTTTTTGAGTTTTTGAAGAATTGTTATTTGGTAGTTTGATTTTTTAAAGTTTTTTAACACTCGCTATAAGCAACGGCAATGCAATCGGGTACAATACTTTTCCCGTAAATAACTGTATTTACAGGACTCAACTCACTACTGGACTCATTTACCTCTTCGTTCTAGTTGCAAATCCTACTACTCTCTGTTGAAATTATTTGGCATGTTTTGAGTTAAGTTTTTATTCCGACCCTTGAAAATGGGGAGGAACTTTGTATTCGGGCGTGTTTAGTTTTTTTCACTAGTAGTTTAGTGACATATCGTATCAAAGACCTTTCAGTCATAATTCAATCGACATTTAAAAATTTTGTAATTTTTTCAGTGTCGAGAAAAACCGGTTTGAGTTTCGCGATTTTTGGCCTAATTTCGAGCTAATAAGGTGATCGTGTAGGCTTCCAAAGCTTATTTTAAGCCGTGAAAACTTAGTTTTACTAAAGAAAAGGTAGCTTTTGGAGTTTTTAGCGCAATTTTTATGATTTTTTTTTTCGTTTTTCTAATCAATTTTGTTCAAAAACTGTTTTCCAATTGACCTAGTTTACTATGACTCTCAAATACGCCTAATTTTTTTTTCGTTCAGACCGATTTATAAATGTCGTGGCCTCACATTACGCCGTTTGATTAGCGTCTGTGTGTTTTAAGGAAGTGGGGAACTTGAATTTTTGATAGGTTTCAAATTTTTGTGAGTTCTTTTGGCTTGAAGGGTTTCTGATCAGATATTTTTGGCTTTGTTATTGCTTGGTAAGTTTTCTTCCGATGCTAGTTTCGCGTTCTTTTTCCGGGTATGTTTCTTTCAGACTTATTCTCATAATTTTTGATAGCATACATTTTTGATGGTAGCGCAGTTGGTTAAGTTCCCAGCGTTTCTGCAGTTCTGGAAATTTAGTTTTCTAAACAAAATTGTATGTTTTTTGTTTTATTTCCTTTTTCTATGAAATTTATTTAAGGGAGTTTGATGAGCAATCTAATATCTCAATTGTGTTTGGCATCAATTTTAAGATGGCATTTTTTCAGTGAAGTTTTTTTTTATGTACTTCTATGTTGTTGTGTAAGCAAGCAATGAATGGAGACTTAGTATAAATGAATAATCCAATATAAATGAGCTCAACAACTACAGGGCTGCTGAGCTGGCTTAGAAAAACTATCTTTTTGAGACCCGATTCGCCCAGTAAATAACTAGAGCTATTTCAAAGTTTCTTGAAACTTTTGTTTTTACCAATTGATTGGCGCCATCAAAAAACTTGGCATTTCATTGTTTCATCGCTCTGAGCTTCCATTGGAAAGTTTTTGATTTTTCTATTCTAATTTTTTGAAGTTTCATTGCTTGATGAGCTTACTTGGAAAAATTTCGTTTTTCTACTAACCGATTCAGACTGAAAAGTACTGTGAACTAAAGTTTCATTGCTTGATGTGCTTGCTTTAAAAACTAAATTTTTGCGAATGTATTCCAGCTTTAAAGTAATTTAAACTCTTGATAGTTTTGATTCAAAAACTTTTAACGCTATGAAATTGAAAGAATTAAAGTTTCATTGCTGGATAGTTTACATGAATTAAATGGCTTTTGCCCATCACAGCGCGCCATTATAATAGCTGATTTATTTAGAAGTTTCAATGATAAGAGAAACTCCCTTTTCTTGTGAAACGTTTTGTGATATGAAAAAACTTGGATTATTTCAAAACTTCAATGCTCATTGAGCTTTCTTAAGAAGACATATTATGTTTTCGAACCAGTAAGCGCTATGAAATTACAAAAAACGAAGTTTCATTGCTTCATAATTTAAATGCGAAAAGCTAGTTTTTGCTAACGGAATTATGATACGAAGTAACTCGCTTGATAATTAGAAGTATCATCGCTTAATAAATGGATTAATAAACTCTATTTTTTGCACACCGGTTCGTACGTCGAAATGACATGAAATATTTCAAAGTTTCATTGCCTGAAAAGCTTGCTTAGATTTTTTCTGTGAACCGATTTGTTTTAAAAAGCTTTACAATTCGACTTAATGCTTTGCGCTATCGACAAAATTGAAACATTTTATATTTCAATCGCTCCATGATTTTGCTTAAGAAAGTTATTGATTTTACGAACAGTTCCGCGCCATCAAAAACCTTTAATTGTTTCAAACGCTTGATGAGCTTGCTAGAGAAATTTTTTGCAAGCACAGTCTTGCTATAAAATTATGGAAGATAGCCCTTTCTAAAAAGTCCATATTTGCCGTTGTGTAGAAGAAGACTTGTTGCTAAATGATGTTTTTATAGTTCAGAAATCCACCCGCTAGTCCCTCTTTATTTGAGGGACCCTAAGAATGATAGGTGTTGTAGATAGTAGTGCAGTGTATCTGCGACAGCCGGGGTTATATGTTTTGTTTTGTTTTGTTTGCAGGTGGTGCTTCTCATGGTGGTGGAGATTGGTCTGTTTCCCCTGCTGGCTGGAGTGTGGATTGACATGTGTACTCTGGCTCTGTTCGACGTCCAGTGGGCCCAGAGAGCGGAGGGGTTCACCCATGCTCCACTCACATCCCTCTTCATTCACTGGATGGTAAGATATCTCTTATCCTCAACAGAGACTAGTTTCAAACTCATCTTTTCTTACTCAAAGTATCCTCTGCGTCCTGGTTGTTACAGGTGATATGAGCAATACATGTTATTAACTTTGTGTATTCCTTCATTGTTACATGGCAAAAGATCCATTCAAAAAGCTCGCTCGTGACAAAATGGCGCAGGTCAACAGATCTCCTGTTAAACAATAGGCCCAATTTAGTGTCGTTTATTTCGGAACCCATGTCATTCTATTACTATGTGGTTGCCTTAAGAATACCATGTAAACCAATTTATGTTGCAACTTTGGTCAATGAAACTAAGTTTATCGCGTAGATTTAGGGCGAATGTTTTATTTCAGAGGCAAAGCTGTTTAATAGGACATTAAACGGAAATAAGTGAGCTAAGTTGAAAAAAAAATAGATCAAAAAATGATTTTTTACACGAGTGTTGCATAGTGTGATAGTACGCTGCAATTTTGTTTCCAACATAGGTCGTAAATAAAAGTGTTACTTTTAGTGCCGTCCTGCATCACTGTGCTGCATTAGCCTTATAATACCATGGGCTCTGTTATTTGATTAGTATTAAGTTAAGACCGTTGATGCTTTTTAATTCATCAACTGAACAGAAAAAAACTGTTTGTTTTATAATAGAACAGTATAATAATTAAAATCCCATTTGAGAAATTTTGCAACTCGAAATACTTCGCGAGATTTTTGAAATGCATAATTTATGCGCAACTTGGTTGAATACGTTCGAGTTTTTAACAAAATTAGTGTTGTTTCCATAAGATTATTACATTTCAAATAATTATATGCGAAATTTGAGTTCTCTGTGAAAAGCTCCTGAATCTTTGCCGCTTTTTCGCTCGTGTTTGCACAGTTGCCTCCTTGTGAAAATGGAAATTTCGAATTCGGAAAAACAGTCGAGAAACCCAATCACTAGTTTTAAATCAGCTTTAAGTATTTATTGAGCGGCGACTCAGCCGAAAATAGTTAGGTACCGTGGTTAGGTACCCATTATGCTGAAAACAATATAAGTTAGCAGTTTTCTTTGTTAGCAGTTTTCTTTGTTTTCAGTTATCTTAAAATTGGACCTTTTTCACACCATAACCAACCTGCATTAAAAAAATTTAAAATTTTTGCCCTCAAACGACACAAAATAAATTGAATCCGATAAAAACAAGCCGTATAAAGCTTTAAAGCGAAAAAAATATTTACTAAGTCAGCGCTAGCAAATTCACAAGCTACAGAAGAAAATCAAATAAAATTGCTGAAAGAACAAGAAAATTGCTGAAAGAACAAGAAAATTCCGTGATGTGGCAACTAAGCCAACAAAGCATAAACAGACAAACGAATGTCCGACCGTTCAATTTTTCCAGGGCAAAGATTTAATTTCATGCAAAAAACAAGGTCCCACCGGGAGTCGGACCCCAGATCTCAGGATGCAAAGGCAACCGCGTTGCCATCAGAAAAGTGCGAAGGAGCCTGGAAGTTGATATTATTCAATAAAAAAGCAATATTGTTCAATAAAAAAGTTCATTTTTGCAGATTTGTAAGAAAAGTTGTTTACGCGAAAAAAAAACAGTCTAGTTTCCGATTACAATACATCTGCTCTCGCAATTGTAGTCTTACCCTTTGATTAAAAGTCAATGAATGCAAGACCTTGTTTTTTTCGTGATGATTTTTTTTTCAGGAAAAGTAAATATTGTTTTTCCCGAAAAAGCAATATTTTATACTTTCTGGCTCAAAATTGATTTTTCGCGGTTTGACTTTTGATTTCTTTTTAAGTCCAGTTTTTTTTTGTTGAAGCGAAGGCAAAGTCCACTAAAGAACAGCGAAAGTGTAACGGTCATGAAAAGCCTTATCAACATCGAATTTCGAAAATGGATTTTAAATTACCTATTTCCCAGCCGAGTAAAAAAAAACTTTACCTTTTGGTCCAGTTTTTATTTCAAATTGAGTAAATTTTCAAAAAAGTCTCAATAATAAGTTGTTCGAAGAATCCAATGAGCCATAAACCAAAGAGCTTTAAGGCCATCTGTTTTTTCTTTTAACAAGCGTCAGCTTAGTGTGTTTTTACGAACCTTCTTTTTTTCTAACCGAACTCGCAAATAAAAGTTCATTAAAAGTGATCATTTATTTGAAGTTTCACTGTAGCATTGGAAATTGCATATCATCTGTTCTCTGCTTTATTTGTGGCTTGTCCTTAATGTTCTATCTTCATTATGCTGTCAACCCTCCGTGGCTGAGTGGTTAGATTGTGTGACTCTTAATTTCAAGGTCGCAGGTCGAATCTGACGTAGCCGATTCGTTGCTTGTTCGAGGCTTATTTCTAATTTTTTTGTTGCACTTTATAGAACTGCTTTTTGTAGTGTCCTATCAAGTGTTTGCGAAGCGAAGATCGCCTCTGTGTAAGTAAATACATGGAAACGCTTGTGATAACACCACTTCGCTTTTTTCAACTCAACTCGCATAAATTATAGCGCAATATATCAGTACAGGCGTACTGTTTTGATGATATCTGGGAATTCAAAGGTGGCGTTTTCTCCACCTAATTTGTGAAAGACAATTAGGTGCTGTGGCAGAGTTGTGAAGACATTATACTCTAGACAATATACTCCATGATATTTCTAATTGATAAGGGATCTTATGGCAGAGGATATTTTGACGTGGGATCTTTTTGTATAGGGATCTATTGGCTCCGGAGCGGAATATTCTGTTTGCGGATAAATTTGTTCAAATGTAAATGGTATTATGCATTTTAAAAATAAATTGATGGAGAGTATCATGGTGGTCATGGAGCGACTGGTTTAGCCGAGCATGAATTGTGGGAGGCGTGAAAAGGTGTGTTCTGTGTTGTGTTGTAGGTGGGCATGGTGTTTGTGTTTTACTACGCCTCCTTCATCATCACTCTGCGGGAGATGTTGCGGCCAGGGGTGTTGTGGTTCCTCAGGAACTTCACCGATCCAGAGTTCAACCCAGTCCACGAGATGATCCGACTGCCAATACTCTCACACGTCAGAAGGTAATGTCTGGCTAAATCTAACGGAGGTGTTTTCAGTGACAAATGCGCATATTATTAGAGTTGGTTGTGAAAGAAGTGGAACACTTTTGTGAGAATAGAAATAACTTGCCATTGCAGAAGTTTAAATTATCAACACCTCATAAGCACGTCATTGCGAAAATTGAGAGAAGTAGAGCTTTATATTTGTTGGAAGGACAAGAATAGATGTCATGGTGTAAAATGGAGGGAATTTAGTAATATGTCCACATGTGCTGCTGTTGGCTGCAGCTGATGTTGGTATGAATGTGAGTAATTGTGTGCTTATTGTCTGCTGTGGTAGGTTCTTGCTGTCTGGCACTGTGTTTGGCACGACCTGTCTGCTGTCTCTACTACTGCCAGTGCTCACTATTAGACGTGTGCTGCCCCACTTCCTCCCCTACCAGATATCTCTCGTCACTGACGCCCCTGTCAGCGAACTCTCCATGGAACTGCTACTCCTCCAGGTTACACCAATCTGCACTCTCTTTTCCAATCATGTATTACCTCAGCAGCCAATACAGACTAGTTACGCTATAAACTTGTCATAACAATTTTTGAATGGTCGAATATCATCATACAGTGGTTTATTACACAAGCAAGCTAGCTAGCGTAGTGTAATAGTTTGATTCTACTTTTTTTTCAACCAAACTAACATGCGGCCACTGGTGCACGTTTTTCAATATCTGTATTTTTGGAAATTTCATAGCATCGGTTCTCTGCTTTGTTAGAGGCTAGTGTTTCCCGTTCTTCAATCAACAGTGGCACAGAGGTAAGGGAATGAAATCCCTAATCTACTGGTCGGAGGTTCAATGCCGACCATATTTTTCTATTTAGTGGCATTTGTGTTGCATAGCATTGGCATCAGTAGCTGCTTTATTGGTAGCTAGTGTTAGCAAAATTTCAACGGCCCGTGGCGCAGATGCAAGGACGTGAGACACGCAACACGAGGGCACAGATGAAATCTGACGCCTTGCAAAAGTTGATTAGTTCGAGGCGTAATTTTATCCTTGCATTAATCAAGGGTATTACAATCGGGTACTTTTTTTCCCGTAAACATTTTTGTCCACAGGACTCATTGGACATCTGATGTACCTTGCTTCATGGTGAATTCAAATTTTGTAGTGTATCTTGCACACTTAGCCTAGTAATAATCTGACCAGGATCAGTGTTTTTCAAACGGTAAATTCCTGTTTGATCACAGGTATTATGAAAATGTATGGAATCCAATTTTTTATTTTTTAATTATTCTTTTTTTGAGACGCTTTGGATAAATTTTTCGCGTTTTTCAAAAATTTAGTTTTTCTCAAAAACTACTCTACCGGTTTTCAAAAAAGTGATACCAATGGGAATCCCGCCCACTCCCTGTGTGTCTGCATACTCCCCCAATCTCTTTTTATCTTACCCCATTTTCTACAGCCTGCGTAAAAGTGTGGGTGGAATTTTTTACCCAATTTTTTAGATTTTTTCTTTACCTTTTCTCAAAAACTACCCTCCAAATCTGAGATTTTGGGTTCAACCGATGGACCAGGTTGTAAGAAGCTCCCCTTCATAAGGAGCTAAGCCTACATTTTTTGACACAAAATTATGCTCCTCAGAAAAGTCAATATTTCGATTTTTTGACGGTTTTTTAAAACGTTTTGATTTTTCTCAAACTACTCTACCAAATCTGAGATTTTAGTTTCAGTAGCTGGAACGGATTGTGGGAAGCTCCCCCGCTTAATCGGTTACATGCAATTTTATTTCACACATAAAGTTATGACCCTCAGAAAAATCAAATTTTCGTTTTTTTGACCGTTCTTTGAAACTTTTCGACTTATCTCGAAAACTACTCTTCCAAATCTGAGTCTTTGGTTTTAATGAGGAGAAGGGGTTGTGGGAAGCTCCGCTGCATAAGCAGTTACGCCTAAACTTTTATACAAGAAGTTATGACCCTAGGAAAATTCAAATTTTCCATTTCTTGAAACTTTTGGCTTTTTCTTGAAAACTACCCACCCAAATTTAATGAGCAGCAACGTTTTATGCGGCTAAGCCAAGTTTTTTTTCACAAAAAGTAAAGGCCCTCAGAAAAAAATTGTTATGGCCGTTTTGAATTATCTTGATTTTCTCGAAGTTTATCCTGCCAAATCGAAATCCTAGTTATTTTATAAGAGAACCAACTAAGGTTTTTGGTTGACGCCCAGTTTTTGAAATTACCATTGTTCCTTAGCATCAGTACAAAAAATTCAAAATTTATCAAACAGATATTTCCAGTTTAGCTGGCCTCTAGTATTCCGGATCAAAAAAGTTTCGGCCTATTATTTTTCTGCTTGTTTTGTCGGCTTAGTTGCCGATAAAAAAGACATCTAAGAATCGTTTATTTTAGCTGTAAACAATTCTCACTGCAGTTGCTTTAAGCATTTTAAAACTCCTACGACTCGAAATTTGCTTTTCACTTCGGTTGTAATTTTACCAGCTCGCTTCGTTTAAAATTTTGTTTCCTTTTTTTTTTCGTTTGTCTTTTTTATCGGCTCAATTAATATCGACTTAGTGGCCTCTTATTGCGTCGTTACGACCGCTTTTTTTAATGCGCGTGTGTACGCACTGTGCGAGGAAAAGGGACTTAGCATTTTATATTTAAAGTTTAGATTTCTTTCGGCATGAAGGGTTTCTGCTAAGGTATTTTCGGCTTTGTTACCGCTTGGTAATTATAAGTTCAAATCCAATCAAACATCTTGCGTAGAGGTAAAACAACAGCTTTAGATTGCAAAGGTTGGGGATTCGAATCCAGTCGGGCCCTTTTTTTGAAACCTAGAATTTTTGTGCTTTTTCGGACTATGGTCCGTCTGTTACACAAGCATAGCTTGTGTTATCGTATGAACTATCTTTTTTCCAACCTAAGTCGCAAATATTGTTGCGGCAAAATGTGTCAATTTGATCGAAAACCAGCTATTAAAAACAGCCAATGCTCAGGATATTAACACAGATCATTATATTACAAATTCCTGTTTGATAAAAAAGGTTTCATGAGAATGAATGCGATCGGTTTTTTGAGACGCTTTGGAAAGTTTTCGTTTTTCTCAAAAACTACTCTACCGAATTTCAAAAAAGTAATACTAATGATGAGTCCGGCCACTCCCCTGTTTGCTTGCATACTCCGCTAGTCGCTTTCTACCTTACCCCACTTTCTACAGCCGTAGAAAAAGTGTGTGGGGAATTTTTGACTCCAATTTTTGGATTTATTGTTTTTTCTCGAAAACTACCCACTCAAATCTGAGATTTCGGGTTCAATGGATGGAACAAGTTTTGCTCCCCTGCATAAGCGGCTAAGCACAAATTTTTTCACACAAATTGTCATGGCCCTCAAAATAGTCAATTTTTCGATTTCTTTACCATGTTTTGAAAATTTTACTGTTTTCTCAGAAACTACCCTCCCAAATCTGAGATTTTAGTTTCAATCGAATGGAAGGGTTGTGGGGAGCTCCACTGCACTAGCGCTTACGCTCAAATTTTTTCACACAAAAAACTATGACCCTCAGACGATTTTTTGACCATTTTTTCAAACTGTTCGAATTTCTCGAAAACTACCCTCCTAAATCTGAGGTTTTGGTTTCAATGGGTAGATTGGGTTGTAAGAAGCTCCGCTGCATAAACTATTACACCTATTTTTTTTATACAAAAAGTTATGACTCTCCGAAAAACCAAATTTTAGATTTTTTTGACCGTTTTTTCAAACTTTTCGATTTTTCTCGACAACTACCCTCCCAAACCTGAGGTTTTGGTTTCAATGAAAGTGAATGGGTTGTGGGAAGCTCCACTGCATAAACAATTACGCTTAAGTTTTTTCACACAGAAGTTATGACCCTCCGAAAAGTCGAATTTTCGATTTTGTTGACCGGTTTTTCAAACTTTTTGACTTTTCTCGAAAGTACCCTCCCAAGTCTGAGGTTTTGGTTTTTATTGGTATAAAGGATTACGCCTATCTTCTTTCACACGGAAAGTTAAGACCCTCGAACTATGGAAAAATTGAATTTTTGACTGTTTTTTGAAAGTTGTTGACTTCTCTCAAAAAATACCCTCCCGAATCTGAGATATTGGTTTCAATGAAGAGAGAAAAGGCTGATTGTGTAAGCGCTCACGTTCAATTTTTCTAACACAAAAATCTTATGATTTTCAGAAAAGTCAATATTTTGATTTCTTGTCCGTTTTGAACTTTTGACTTCTCAAAAACAACTCAATCTGATATCAAAGGTTCAATCAAGGCAATCTAAGCATTAAAGTTTGAGCAATAAACATTTTTTGGGAAAATTCCAGAATTGCAAAATTTTTCACTCATTTTTTAATAGAGCATCAACCAAGGTTTTGAGTGAAGCTCAATGCATAATTTTTTTTAAATAACCTACTTCAACCCGCATCAGTACAGCAAATTCAAAAATAATCAAACAGGTACCTCAAGCTTCAGCTGGGCCTCTAGTAGCTTTTTAGCTTTAAGGTATCATGGATCTGTAGTGCAGAGGTAGGGAAGGAGACCCGCAACAAAATAAGAGGGTGAGAATGTTTTTTTTGAAATTTTTCGTATACTAGTTAAAATGCGTCCGCTCTATAAAATGAGGCATCTTAGTTGGTAAGTTTCTTTTTTTTTCAAACTGACTGGTACTGCTAATCCGTCATAATTGGCTTGCGTCGCTTAGCAATTATGGAGACTCATAAATGGCGTGTGTCACTCGAGAAATTTTGTAGCCTCAAAGTTTAACTCATTCAGTTTTCAGGTTTTACCAGTTGTGGTATCGGTCATATTTTTGCTTGTGTACGTGCAACTTCGCCTCTGTATTATTTTTGTCGGCTTGTTATCCGTGGCTCGATGGTTCAGCTTTATTCTAAGTAACTGTAATCACCATGCTTGAGACGACAAAGCGGGGAATTCGATTCCAGTTGAGATCTATGTTTTTTGGCAAATTGAATATTTTTTAAATTGGACATCCGCTGGTATATCTGAAATTAAAATCCACGTTAGAAACGCAATGTAATTTTTCAGTTGCATTTTTGTTCTATGCGAGCCGAAATTGCCTTCCATCTAGCAAATGGATATCAGCTGACGCTCTTAGATAAAAATCAAAAACAAACGGCGAAAAATCAAATTGAACAAAGACTTCAAACTGAAAAAATACCATGACGACCTATATGAACGCTAGAAGATTACAAACGAGGTAAATAATCAACATTCGAGCTGTTCAGCTCTTTAGGGAGATCAGCTCGCTTATGAATTAAATTCAATGTGTTTACTTTACTCTGTGAGGTGATGTTGCCTCGCCTTGAAGCAAGGAGCACGGACGCTCGGACGACCTTTCGATTGAGAAGCGGATGCTTAGCCATTTTGTGGCTCACACAGTTCCTAATATTGAATACATTGAAAAAGATTGAAGGTTCGTTTGTCAACTGTCCGTTGTCTCTTTCTCTAGGTCATTCTACCGGCACTGCTGGACCAGGGTCACATCCAGGGTGCTGTGAAGTCCTCCATCCTCTTGTGGACTAAACTGGTCGGATCACTCCTCGGACTCAGATCATACTTGCTAGGTATTATTGTTACACCACTTTTAACTCTAGCTAGATTTTAAACAGACCCATTAGGTAAATACAAAGGCCTAGACTATTTTGATTTATTCCTTTCTAGTAGGTCTATAAGAAAATTACATAAATGTCGCATATTTTGTCAATAGCGTTGTTTGTCCTTTCCACGAATGACAAGTGAAAGTTTGAGCTATTTATCCGACTGCTAAGTTTTGTTTGAAAAATGCATTTTTAGATTTTTGGGTTGCTTTATTTGAAAACTTAATTGTTTTGTGCAGGAGACAATGACAGTCCAATCTTTACATGGAACCAGCGCAGACGCAATAACAACAACAGAGCCAATATAGATGCGAATGAACAGGACGCCAACATCAACAACAACAACAACAATGAAGCGGCGGACAATAACGCAGCTGCAGCTGCAGGAGGGGGTGGGGGTCTTCAGGCGGCTCATCTGGCTCTGCTGCAAGTGAGTGTGACGACTGGAGAGGACGAGGAGCAGATCTACCACAGACCTGCTCTGTTCCCACTGCGCATTGTGGGACTGCTTGGAATGAGTATGCTGACTGTGTATCTGCTCAGTTGTGTGGGCCTCCTCCTGCCCACTGCACTGGGACGATGCATCATGTCCTTGTGGTTTGGGTCTCTGAGGGTGCATGAGTTGTACACTTGTGCAGTGGGCGTCTACTGCTGCTGGGCCTTGTTGAGGGGCGTGGCCTGTGTCGTCTCCTGGATGTCTGCCGGAGGAGTGAGGTTGCAAGTCCTCACTCACAAGATGTGCAATCTGTTCTACATTCTAGCCAAGGTTTTCATCTTCACTGCTCCTTCAACAAATTCTCATACATCAAACAAAAAGCTAGAAATGTTTGATATAACTTTGGTAATAGTTTACTTTGCGAAAGCAAAATTTACGCGACCTCAAATTTGGTATCAGGTCTTGGTATCAGGTTCATGAAGTTAAATATTTAGGCGTCCTTATTCAGCATATTATCCTTATCAGCATTTTAAAATCAAGTTAAAAACATGCTAAAAAATGGAGCAGGGTATCAAAACCATCTACACGCTCCGTGAAATTGCACCATTCAGTCTAAACAAATGCTATTTAGTTGTCTAGTACTCGGCCATATAAGATTTATACAACATTCAGCTGTGATTTAGAGTTCGATATCTGAAAATCTAATTGTTTTGCTTGTGTGTGTCCATATTTCGATCTTCGGCAAATTTGGAACAAAAACATAAAATTCTACCTGTTCGTTTTTCGCTTGAGTACAGATCATTACAAGACATCCAGCTATTTCTAAAGGTCAAAAACCAGCGTATATGCTTGCTGAAGGTGGGCTCGATATACCAACAGCAAAATATTAGCATGAGAGAACAAATAAATTTGTTCACACCGTTTTCTTCAATAGCCAATACGCGCAAAAGCATTTAGAGAAGGTATTTTGTGATATGATGATTTTTTATCAATTTTTTTTATCAACATCTAAAAAAAGTACAAAACCTGTTTTTCTGAACCAATTTGAAGGATCCAAGCCAAGTGTCGTGCGGAAAATCATCATGGAAAGCATTTAAGTTTTCTTAGATTATTCTCTTTTCATTATTTACACAAGGAAAATTTGTGTGATAGTATGAACTCACTTTTTTTCCAATTTAAGTCGCAAATATTAGTGTTCAAAAAAATTACTGCAACAAAATTTTACGATTAGTTTTTTCGTTTTTTTTAGACATTTCTCTAAAAAAACTGATTTCTAATTGACCTATTTTACTATGACTGTCGAGTATGCATAAGTTCTATTTTTTTGTAAGAATCTTTATATCAAATCGCGCTGAATTGTGTTTTCTTAAGATTATAAACGGAACATTCGGCTACTTGTTTTTGAATAAAATTTATTAAATATCTAGATTAAGTAAATTCAGTATTTTTTATCAGTTGTACCAAATTATCTATGAACTATGTTTTTCTGATATATTAACACTAGCGTCAGCTTAGTGTATTGTTATGGACCTTTTTTCTTACCTAGCTCGCAAATAAAAAAAGTTTATTAAAAGTGTTCACTTATTTGGAAATTCCCCTGTAGCATTGGAAATTGCATGGCATTTGTTCTTTGCTTAATTTGTGACGCGTCTTTGGCTATCACCTATTAGGATTCCGTGGTTAGGGCGTGACTCTTAATCTTTAGGTCACAGGTTCGAATCTTGGACGTAGCCGGATTTCGAGGCTTATTTCTACTTGGATTTCGATGCTTATTTCTACTTTTTATTGCGTTTTGTAGAGTTGCTTTCTATTTATGTTCTCTCCAGTGTTTGCGAAGCGAAGCTTCACCTATGTTTTTAATTTCTGCGGCTTGTTTCAACACTTGTATCTTCGGTGATTTTGATAGTGTTATTCTGGGTAGAACTTTGCGGAGGTACTACCAAAAAAAGTCCGACGGTAGAGTAATAGTTCGTGTTTCCTTTTAAGAGTGAATGGATGTACTGAAGACAATTATAAAGGTCGCGTTGATTTTTTGGATCAAGTTAACATCCTCTCCCCTAACTAGACCAAGGTAAGATCTTCCTTCTTAGCATTTAATTTGGAATAAAATTGCTCAGTGCTGCATTAAATTGCTCGATCCTGATTAACTGAAATATCTAGCTTTGAACCAACTTAAAATCCTCCCGGTAAACCACTTTTGGGGGTTAACTTGGAGCAAAACTGGATATTGCAGTCAATCAGAATCGAGCATTATACAAGTAGCGCTGAGCGATTTACACTTTGGTTCAGTTTTCTCAAATTGAGTGAGTCAATTTTATCAAAGAAGTCACTCATCAATTGATAAATTGTTTTGGAAATTCAAAGAGCTATATATTTTTTCGAAAGTAGCAGAATGTTCCGTTTATAATCTTAAGAAAACACAATTCAGCGCGATTTGATATAAAGATTCTAACGAAAAAAATAGAACTTATGCATACTCGACAATCATAGAAATTCGGAAGCTGAAGTTTTTCCCCTAAAGACGTCATTTTTTCTTTTGCGCTCATTGACTTTTTTCCAACAGCTTCTTGGCTATGGTTAAGTGTTTTTGAACGTAGTGATTAGGTGACGTGTTATTATTATTTTTTAAAAAATCTGAAAAATTGGTCTCTCAGATTTGATTTTTGGCGGCTTGATTTTCACTTTTTCATCATATTTTTTGGTTTTTATCGGTTTGATCTAATTTTTTAATCAGCCCGGTTTTGTATAATTTGCGAAAAAAAGTATCAATCGTAACATGTTCTTGGAGGTCAAGGGGCGCTAACGTGATATAATTGCGACGTGGCTTGTTTGTTTCGCAGTAGAAGCGCATTTTCTTGTAGATAGTCGCAGGAAAGTGGGATTGTTAAAGTTAATGTGAATGCACGAGAAAATGGAATTTTCTAGTATAGCTCAGTGATGCACTTGTGTTATGCTCAAGTGAACTTGTTTCAGCTGAGTGTGGCGGCCGTTTTCTGCCTGGGTCTCATTCCGCTGCTGCTGGGTCTGTTCTTCGACCTGCTGGTGGTGATGCCACTGCGACTCCACCCGGATCAGACTCCCATCCTATTCCTGTGGCAGAGCTGGGCGCTAGGCATTCTGCACGCCAAGATATTCTGTGCTGTCACCCTCATAGGACCCGACTGGTGGCTGAAGAGTGCGATGGAACGAGTGGGCAACAGCGCCTTGGCCAATCTGGACGTCGCATTCCTTCTGAGACGAATCGTGATGCCTGTGGTGGGCGCACTCCTCGTCCTTCTAAGTGTTCCCTACTGCACAGCGTATGTTGTGGTGCCCCTGGTGCTGAGATGGTCGTCATCGGATGCTCTGCTGCAGAGTCTGATCTACAGACGCTTCTACCATTGCCTCCTGCTAGTGTGTTCAGTGGCCCTCTTCTTTCTCTTGCAGCTGAATCAGATGAGAAGAGTGTATACGCGAATAAAGGACGAGAGATACCTGATCGGACAGAGACTGCAGAATCTGGAGAAACATAATGCAACCAACTCCTCCTCCTCTTCCCAACCACAAACCACTCTAAGTTGACCACGCCTAACAGACCTTATTTTGAACCAGTCTCCATATTTTCTCCCTCAATTTGCAGTAGTCCACAACTAGTGAAACATTGTTATCAATTTGTGCTAGCCACGTAGTAGCGATTGGCTCACCAGAGTCCAGGCATCTTTACAAAGAACACTTGACACCAAAACTTGACTTTTATTGGGGTTTCCAGTGATGCCCGTTTGTATTCAGTCCTTATCAATCTTCAATTTAAAAAAAACTCAAAATTCCCCTGAAAAAGCAGGATTGAAATTATATGTATATGCTTAAATCCATACAAGCTCTGATATCATGCAAATTAGCTCTTATATCAATGATATTTGAGCAACCCAATTAACAGATCAGAGCTCCTGCCAAGCATGTTCATTCTCGCTATTTTTAGCTATAATTTATTATCCCATACAAAGAGCTACGAATTAATTGTATTAATTAATGTTTCCTAACTGAGGGAATTGCAATTTTCTTTCCTTCACTGTTTCTTCACAAAGCTTTGGCAATTAAAATAAAGTGGCCAAAAAATACACGCGTTGATGCAGTAGTAAAACAACCGAAAAGTTGTTATGGTTTTTCAACGACAAATGAAGCTCACAATACTGCACCTCGTTACAGAAGTTAAGCAACATGCATTGTGCATAAAATCATTCGATAGATGTTCAGACTTTTAAGTGTAAAAGAACGAAGTGATTTTCACGTATCTAGGTCTTGATCATTGTTTGTTTTTCAGGAAGAAATATTAATGCAATTATGAATGCTTCAAGGTATATACGCACTTTTTAAAGAGTAATTAACGTAGTGAGTACGCTTATATGGGTCTTGTGGAGTTTTCGTGATTTGTCTTTTGATGTCTTGAATTTTAGTTCATTTCTTTTGTTAAAAGAAATACAGACTCCACTATCGACCGCAAAAACGTGATCGACTTCTAGTTCAGAGTCTATGAACGTAGTTCAGACTCTTATATGATTGTGATGATTTTTTTAAAGGAAAAATCTTAAATTTTGTCACGCTCAATTTTGATTTTTCGCGGTTTGACTTTTGATTTCTTTTCAAGTTTACTTCATTTCCTTTGTTTACACTTGCGAAGCAAAGTGTGTTTGTACGAACTTCCTTTTTTCCAACCTATGTCGCAAATCTTGGTGCCACTTTTTGGGCATCTTTACAGCTTTCTGATAGCATGGGCTATGACATTTGATTAGTAAAAATTTAACACAGCTGATGCAATTTTAATTCACCAAATGAGCCGAAAAAAGATTTGTTTCAAACAGTAGTACAATTTTTCAGCAAGCATTCCAATTTATAACATGCAAAATTGTGTCTTTTTGTATTTGGTGATACTTTTGCTGCATCGAATTGGCAATTTATTTGCATATGTAGCTGAGTTGCTGGCGGCTAGTTTTTGGGGATTTTAAGCATCCGTGGCTGAGTGTTTAATGTCCGAGACTCAACTTTGCTAAGTCGCAGATTCGAATCCGACACCTAGCCGAGTTTTTGCTAATTCGAGGCTTATTTCTATTTTTTCTCATTTCACTCAATAGAGCTGCTTTTTGGTTGTGGTCTTGCAAGTGTTTGCGAAGCGCAGCTTCGTTTCTGTGTAAAAGGAAGGCAAACTACACTATCGAAGAGCAAAAGTGTGAAGGTCACGAAGAGCTTTTAGGCCATAAATTTTTTCTTTGAAATTCGAAGTTAAAGATTATTCAAAAAGCAAGTTATTTTTTTTTCTGTTTCCTTGCGTTCATTACTCTTTTCTAATTGCGATTTCCAATTGAGGAAGCGAAAAATTGCGCACAGAAACCGGAACGACATGTTAATTTCAAAAATACACGTAATAGAACTAGTTACTTAGTAGGGAGAAAAGGCATTTCTGAAAAATAATTGATTGATTTAAATGGTGTTAGTTTTTGATGCGTGTCATTTCAGATCCATTATGGTTTTTGTTACTGCTTAATTTAGTTGCAAACAAAATACACTGTTTATTCGAAAATAGAGAAATTTTCTAGAAAAGTATAAATAGTTTAATTTACTTCTATCGAAAACCTATAGCTTTTTAAAAAGGTATTATTTGCATAAGTTTTTATACCACTGTTACCAAATAGATCTGATTCACAGGCGATGAGCGTAGTTCAGACTCTTATATAGGTTCTGATGATGCTTTTTTCATTTTTTTTTTTTCAGGAAATGTCTTAATGCTCTTATAAGTGAGTGACATTAGGTGTAAATAGACTTTTTGAGTGCATTTTAAATTCATTTACTAGAAGTCAGGCAGTTTGCGTTCTCCGATTTTGAAAGATGGAATGCGAAAAAGCGTGATCGATTTCTATTTTCGGAAGTGGAATTTAGTTTCCAACCGTAATAAAAACTTTTATCCAGTTTTCTCAAATTGGTTTAGATTTTTTCCTGATAATCCAGTTTTCTCAAGTTGGGTTAAAAAATGTAAATTGCTATTGAAACTCTAAGAGCTTTTAGGGCGTATAGTTTCATTTGAAATTCGAAAGTTGAAGTGTTTTTTAAAAAAACAAGTCAATTTTTTTCTGTTTCTTTGCGTTCATTGACTCTACTCCAACTGTCTGTTGGATATGTTTTAATCGATCCAGGGCTATCAGTTAATCGCTTCTAGCCTTCTGCTGTGCGACATGTCTCCTATTATGAGCTTACTATTTTTGTTCCTTCAATTTTTTTTTGGGTCAAAATTGATCGTGTTTATCAGATTATTTTCTTTTTTATTATTATTTTTTCAGAGACATGGGAAAGTGTGTTTTCGGACCGTCGGTGATTTCTGTTCTGTTTCTAAAGCTATATTCCAACTATTCTTGCAATGTTTTATGATTTTCCAATCGTTGAAGGTACACAGAAAAACTTTGCAAGTCTTTTGAGTGTTTCTCATGGTGATATTTGGGGGCAATGTAGAGTAGGTGGTGCATTTTCAAATGTAACTTCTTGCATGCACTTTATTTTTTTGTTAAGTGTGAATAATTTTTTCCAGAAATTGACGAAATAAGTAGCGTCTATTACATAGGTCGTTATGATTGTTTTGTTTTTAAGAGTCGCTGAACGTAGTTCATACTCGTACAAAGGTCGTGATATTTTTGTTATTGTTTCTTTTTCAGGAAAAGTCTTGAAATGCTCCAAAAACAAAAGAAGCGCATTCGAAGTTTAAAGTGCACAAATGCATGCTCTTAGGTGTATACGTACCTTTTTAACAGTCGATAAACAAAGTTCAGACGCAGTTTATTTTTTTGCGGTTTGACTGATTTCAAAGCTGTTGCTGGTATTAAGACGAGCGCTTTTATTGATACGGCTAGAGTTCATAGATTTATGAACGTAGGGAAAACTTAAATATAGGTCTTGGGGATTTTTTTATGTTTGTTTTTTTAAGGAAAGTATTTAAATTTGTTTACGCTAAAATATGAGTTTTCGCGGTTTGACTTTAAAATTTTTGAGGTCACTATATTTTCTTTGTGACAAGGAAGGCAAACTCTACTATCGCACAGTAAAAGTCTAGAGGTCAAAATTAACTAGAGGTCAAATCAAATTCTAGTTTCGAAAGTTGATTTTTTTTTCAGACTTTTTAGCGGAATATAAAGTTTATTGATCCATGTTTCTCAAATCGGTTTACTTTCATCAGAAAAGTGCCAATCATAAATTCTTCTTGAAATTCAAAGCGCTTTATAACCTTATTGGCTACGTGTTTGTTGGCTACGTTTGTTCAATTCAAGTTCATTTGCTAGAAGGTAGGAAGAATGCACGCTCCAATTATAAAAGTTACGCGATAAAATTGGCGCGAAAAAGCGTGATCGATTTTAGGAGTTTTTAGATTTCCCTGCGAATTTAACTTTTTTCTTAATAATCCAGCTTTTACAAATTGAGTTCATTTTATCAAAAAGGTGCTGTTCAAAAATTGCTCTTGAAATTCAAAGAGCGTTAAGGCCACATAATGTTTTTTTATTGGAAATTTTAAAGATGAAGATTTTTCAAAAAACAAGTCAGGTTTTTTTGTTTCTTAGCGTTCATTTTGTAAAAAAAAGCGCTCAAAAGTTTCAATTAATTTCAATTAAAATTTCAATTAAGTTTTTCTAATTTAAGAGTTTTAGTGCAGTGGCACTTGCTATAGAGATCACTTTAATTTCAGAATCACTTTAATTTTATTGTCGGCATAACGGGTTCCGTCCCAATTTCTGTCTGCTTACTTGCTTTCAGAATCACTTTTATTTTTTGTCGGCATAACGGGTTCCGTCCCAATTTCCTTCTGCCTACTTGCTGGGTGTTTCATTTAAAATTTTGAGGAAGCTGGATATAATTCGTAGGTTCGGTTTTTTTTACAAAATTTTTTTCGGTTTATTATTTCTATCTTCGGCTGCAAATTTTCTGATTTTTTTTCTGTTGAAGTTGTACGTCTTCTCAAGCAACTTAGTTTTACAACTCGGTTTGACCAATTAATTATAAATAGATTCAAGGTGATGGCACATAGTGTTATAAATGGCAATAAGTTTTCGAAAAAAAATAGAAGTACAGAATTTTTTCTATTTTGACCTGGCTGTTTGTTTGAAGTCTTGTTGTTGTTGTTGTTGTTGTTGTTGTTGTTGTTTAAGCTCGGAGTCGGGTTATGCTCATCCGTCTCCAGGTCTTGGAACTACAAGCGGCCAAAGCCACACGTCTGCCGGCGTAAATCGAGAAGGTTTTGGGGGCAGTTAAGAAGGTGGCAAGTAGGGATGGAAGAGAGCAGGTTGGGTATAGAGGGCAAAGGGAGATGTCTAGTCGGGAAAGGTAAGTGTTTAAAAGCCGGACCAGAACTGGGAGAGCTTAGTGCGGATATTTTGGGAAAGGGATTGTTCTGAGGGTTCAATTGTAGGTGAATGGATAACCGTAGAGGGTGAAACCTAGGCAAAGTTTCAAAACAAAGAAAGAATTTTCGTCTCGGTTTTGAACATATACAGGGGGTTCGTTTAACGAGTAGATTAAAAGAAGTTCAGTGGTTTCATCTTTGTAGCAGTTCAATATTGAAGGGAGTATTTGGCGAATGCAAAGGGAGTTAGTGTGGAAAATCTGTTGGGATGATGGGAACGTTTTGTAGAGCTAACAACTGAGTTAAGTGTGTGGTCCTGAGCAAAGAATTGATATAGGCCTGTACGATGTTGATAGCTTTAAGTCTTTATCTGGTTTGGATAAGGGTACCTTTTTCGAGATTTTTTAACATCTGAGATTGTTCTCAGTCATCGAGGAATTTAAAAAAAAAAAGAGGCAAGGCTAAATTACCGAAATGTTTTAAGAGGATGTTGCAAAAGCTATTCGGGCTCAGTGCTCGGGAAGTTTTGCTGTCAGCGATGGCTTGTTTAGCCTATTTTGAGGAGACCGTTGAGCTAGTAGAAAGAAGGAGCTTGATTATTTCGCGTCTCGTACGAAGTAGTTGTCTTAAGTGTGGCTCCTTGCGTTGCTGAATTGTTTGTTCAAAGCTTCTTCTGTCTAATGGCAACTATGATC